CGAGGAGAAGAAGGTATAATGAGAAGATTTTTCTTTGCTATTGTGATTCTTTTTATTGTTTAATTTTTTTACTAATCATGATTTGGTTATTGATGTCAATTTGGTAACTGTTTTGTTTGCAGGATGAGCCAGCAGAAGAGAGTGATGGAGATTTGGGTTTCGGCTTGTTCGACTAAACGCAATTTACTTCTTCGTAGCTTGGGTTTTTATCGATTTGAGACTATATTTTGTCGTATCGAGTTATCGCTTGTTTGGTCTTGCTAAAGAACTTTTAGTTGTTTTTTTTGGAATCATGACACAAAGTTTCTCATCGGCTCTGGCTTTTGTTGGAATGGATTTTTGTTTATTTTTTCTTCTTTTGTCTCGATTTAACATATACCACTAGTCTATATAGGTTATCAATGCCTAATCATTAAGAGTAAAACTAGGCAATAAAAAACAGTCGAGTTTTAGAAATGAATAGAAATATCTTGGCTATAGTTTGACTGAATCTAGTAGGAGGCTTTGCTTGGAACATCTGCCATTGGGCCCGGCCCATTATGTGTACTCTTTGAGCGTGAAGTGCTTTGTTTTGTTACTAACCAAAATTATGTACAAGGACGCGCGGTGAAAGAGAGTTGGATAAACGCGCTTTATTGATTGAGTGACGGACACTTAGTGCATTTGTACGTGTCTATTTTTCATATGTTCCAAATAATGAAAAATTAAAAAGCTATAAATTTTAGAGAAATATGAAAACAAATTTAAAAAGAGTTAGGGACAAATGTTTTCTACTTCATATTTTACAATTTAATATAGTAACATTTTTCAGGTTAATGTTCTGTTTGGTCTAACGAAGATTCGAAAATGATAATTGAGAAGTAAATAATTACATTTACTAGTACGTAATTAGTAGTATTGGATTTGCAGATTGGATCTTGAAATTAAGAAATAAAAATAAAACATTGTTGTTAACGAAAAGAATAGTCTTGGGTGGGTCCAAAAATCGAAGAAAACATGTTAAATTAAAAATTCAGAAGAAGGAAATAAATATAGGTAGAAGAAGTTGAGCCTCCGCCTCTTACTTTTCCAACTCATCTTCCTCGTTTCCTCCG